CCCTTTCATACACTTGAGGATTAATAATTAATTTAATATATAAATTTATATATTGATAAAATAAAATAATAATTATAATTATATATTATAATTATAAATAATTATATATTAAAAGAAAATAAAATTAAATTATTTAAATGATCAAATTTATCTCACAAATTAAATCGACAACACCTGCTCCACTTCCTTCCTTTTGTTTAAAGTTAGTTACGCCTCAAGGTCAGTCAACAGCTAGCTCAGAACATCCAGTTATGTTTTTCTCAACACCTTCGCTTAGTTCACTGAACTATATTTCACCTTCGCTTAGTTCACTGAACTTATTTTTGCTCTACTTTAATTTTCTTCATCTATATAATATAATGCAACTTCCACTGCTGCTGTTCTTATATTTATTTTTAATATATGCACCTTTGCAATTCCAAACGAAATCTTATTTCATTTATTTTATGCAAAAATTCTTTTTCCACGTACGTAATTTATAAAAACACTGCACGCGGTACCGGCTGCGCCAAAATGTTATACATCTTTCTTATATATTGTGTAATTTAATTTATTTATTTGTGTTTGGAAAAAATGTTATAAAATTTGTGTTGGTACTGATATACCTTGCATATATGTTGTTTCCACTATTTCCACTTTTTATTTCTCCAAAACGTTAAATATTTTTTCCATAAATCAAAGTGTTTATTTACTTATTGTTTTTTTTTTTTGTTTTTATAATATTTTATTGAAAAAAAAACAAATGTAATTAAATTCGTATTGACAATTTATTAAACAATCCCATTACAAACTTTTTATTATATATTCAATTTAATTACCTCTGTTATTCATAGTACTTATATTGTTTTCACTATATATGTTTTACTTTCTTCAGTATCTATCTTATTTCATTTCAAAAAAAATTCATACAATTCGGATTTAAAAAAATAAATTAATATAGCTAAGTTTCAATTCGATAAGAAACTTCCTCTGCTTTCCACAAGCTCAACTGCACAACAACTCTATTTTTTCTCTGCAAATCATTACGCCACCTTTACCATTCTTGCAAAACCAGACCAATCTTCTCTCTCAAAAACAAACAAAACATCACAGTTAATCTGATCTTGCAGGTGCGGTTTACAATATTAATCTTACAGTGGCGTGAGTAAATTAAATAACCTAACTTATTAAACTATAAAATATAATACCATACATTAAATTATAATATATTGAATACATAGAAATAACATTAATAATTAATAATAATAATAATAACAAATAATAATAATATTAATTATAATAAAAATATAATAATAATAATAAACATATATATAGTACTTTTGCATTCAATAATAAATATATACAACACTGGCGGAAATGTCCTGAATTAATCTGCCTACATTCATTTTAATGGAAATGACCTGAATTATTTTGCCTAAATTCGTAATTTCGTACGCTTCGAAACGTTTTAGGTTTTTCGTTCGATCTTTTGGCATTCGCACTATTTTTCTTATTGTTTTTTTTTTCAGTTTTTGTTAATTATTTGTAAATTTTAACGAAATTATGGAAATTTTTGTTCACAAAATTTTAGTTATGTATACTTTTTCAAATTTTTTCGATAATTTTCACAATATTAACTTATTTTTAATATTAAACTTATTAATTTAGTTCGATTTCATTAATCCTTTGGGATTAATGCCGTCCGACTGCGCCAATTATAATAGTAAAATGACAGAACTTCGGTTTTGACATACTTTATTCGAAATTTATCTTAAGACTAACTAATCTCTAATATTTTTCCCTTTATATATAGGGAGGATTCGAATTATTGAATCCTAATAAAATCCTTCGTTGTTTGGTTAAGCCAAACAACGATAATAAAATATTTAGAAGAATAATGAAAACCTTTCGTTGTTTGGTTAGGATGATAATAAAAACCTTTCGTTGTTTGGTTAGGCCAGACAACGATAATAAAATATTTAGAACAATAGTGAAAATCTTTAGTTGTTTGGTTAGGCCAGACAATGATAATACAAATGTTTAGAATAATATAATGTAAATCTTTTCGTTGTTTTGATAATTAATCTTGCTGAAATTGCAAGAAAATGCAATTTCGGCTTTAGTTATTTTGATATTTAGGCGCTATAATCAAAAAATGCTTTTGGCGGAGAATGGGTGTCGGGTTTCGTCTGTGACGTAACTTGCGTGTCCAGATTTCAATCTCCCGTTTACTTTCCAGACAGACGCAAGTAACCATGAATTGGGCGCAGTACTAACATAATCTATTAACAACATCGAACATGTCATCGCCTATGCAAATCGGCATTTAAACCAGACCGAAAAAAGGTATTCAGCCACGGAAAAGGAATGTTTAGCAATAGTCTGGGCAATTCGCAAAATGCGACCATATTTCGAAGGATACCAATTTACCATTATCACTGATCACCTGGCGCTCAAATGGTTAAACTCAATTAACAACCTAACCAGACCTATTGTCAGATAGGCGTTAGAGCTACAACAATATCAATTCGAGATCCAATATCGAAAAGGTAAGTTGAATGTCATCGCTGACGCGGTGTCCAGACACCCAGTTGAAAGTTTCCGCAAATAATTCCAAGGTCCGGGCGAAATAATTACAAATAGTTCACAAGAAAATTCGATGAAGTACAGACAAGGCCAGACAAGTTTCCGGATTTCTCAATACCATCGTCTTTACGCTCACAAATCTGCAGAGAAAATCACGCTGATCGCACAACAAGACACTTCGGTATACGAAAAACAGTACAACGTATAAGAAGCAAATACTGGCATGCTCAGAGACATTGGTCAATATATAAAAAACTGCCATATTTGCTCACAATACAAATGAATTGAAACCAGCAGGCGAAATGCTTACACAAATACCTGGGGAACCGTGGGCATCAGTCTGTGCAGATTTTGTCGGTCCGTTACCAAGATCTAAGAAAGGAAATACGATGCTACTTGTTTTGTTTTGATCGCTTTAGCAAATGGGTAGAACTGATTCCACTTCGGAAAGCCAGCATCGAAGCCACCATCTCCGCTTTCAGGGAAAGTATCATCGCAAACTTTGGGATACCCAAATTGTTCATCACGGGTAATGGGCTACAATTCCGTTGCAAGTTTTTTGAATGCAAGAAATAGGAATCAGACATCACCGAACGGCACCATACACATCGCAAGAGAATCCAACGGAGCAAGCGAACAGGACAATAAAGACCATGATTGATCGATATGCGAATAATCGGCATAAAACGTGGGACCACTTTATACCTAAAGAGAAGTTAGCAATCAATTCGGCGGTGTCAGAAACTATGGGTTATAGTCCCATTTACCTTGTCCAGGGAAGAGAACCCAGACTACCTGGCGCAACCTTTGATAAATATACTCCAGGGTGTGGAATAGTCCCCACAAACCAAGAGCTGAAACACTCACAATTACAACACGTATTCTCGGCGGTCCGGGAAAATATCGCAGAAGCTTCCGGAAATCATTCAAAGTACTACAATTTGCGAAGAAGACCTTGGAGACCAAGCAAATGTCAATTTAGCTCGGATATTTTATCTCCGAGTTTAATGAATGCTTTCCTTTTCACTTTTGGAGCACTGTTCCTATTAAGCTCCGATGGGGATGAGCGAGATCTCTCGTTGTTCTGCCTCTCTTCTGATAGAACAGGTGAGTATGTTGGTCTCGGCGCTCATGAAGTGGTTTTGGCTAGGGCTGTTTGTCCGTGACTCCTTTGCACTTTCGGTGCCGGTTGGAGTAGTAACGCCAATGTGTGTGGATGTTTTTGTTGCTGAGTACATTTTCTTTGCAATTGGGTCCCAACTTAAAGCCGTTATCTTAGTTTTGTTGTGTAGTTACCCTTAGTGTGATTCATTATCTTTGCAATGCATGGTCATGCGAGAGTTGACATATGACCTTATGAGCGCATGTGTTCAGAGCTAAACCGAGAGCTAAGCAGAAGATATTCTTAATTGCCCTTACACCCCAACTTAACAGGACGAATCCAAGATCGTTCTTTAAGGCTTGCCAGATTTTAACGGAACGGAGGCAGATGAAGCATTAGCCTGAAAGCCGTCTGGACCAGATTTAACTCTAGCCCATATTGGTAACAGAATACTTCATCGACCAGCCGATGTCATCATTTCCAATCATTTTCTGTTTTTCCGTATGCCATAATTAGATTCTTACTGGTATCGATCCTGATGCCTATTCTTATAGGCTTCCTCCGTTATCTTATTTAGTGTGTAGATTATGGTGCGACAGCCGCTCCTGACATGGGGTACAGTCGCTGCGCACCTTCTTCTCCCTCGTTGGTGTTGCAACCACTCCTTATATAGAGATCAATCGCTGGCACTTCCAACTCCAACCAAAGGAAGCAGACATTGTGCGCTTGCGTGTCGCTCGTTGCCATCTCGTGATGGTGGACGCTTAGTTGGAGCCGGCATCTACTCAGGAGCTTCTCAGGGTTTCTGTGACCTTTTCAGCCACACCCTCCGACGCCTGGCTGGATTTTATCGCCTCGTACGACAGGTATGCCTTACTGCGGGAATATTCTAACCCCTATCCTGCAGGGGGAGCACAGCACAAATGTGTGGCCACGAATCTATGTGCACAATCAAATTTAAAACCGCGCATCAAATTTGTGTGCGTGCAGTAACAGCAAGTTACTGGCCTGTACTGGCCCGAATGTACGCAAAACAAATATATTATTTTCCCTACCTTCGGCCAATATAGGTATACTTGCCACATCGGCCAATAAAAAAAAAGTGCTACAACGCAATAAGCGAACTATTGTGAACCTTCATTGGAAATTCCAACGAATATTGCAACGAATCATATGTCAAAATGTATATATAAATAAAAATTTTAACAAAATTCAAAAATTTCATAAATTTGAAAATTGAAAAAAGAAAAATTTCAAGATTTTATTTTGAAATTTTCAATATTTTTATTACCCGTTTTTAAAAAAAGAATTATTTTTCGAAATATTTATTTAATTTTGTTTATTGTTATACATATTTCTTTTTTCTGGTTTATAGAACTTTCAAATAGTTTCAGTATGAATGGGTCTATGTCAAAAGTGACATATTCCCTTGACAGGAAGTGAAAAAACCGAAATGCGCATCTTTCAAAAATCTTTTGTTAGATTGTTATCCAGAAATAGCAAATATAAAATAAAATTTTTCAGATAGGGTTATTGTCAACTTTTTTTCAAAGAAATATTTATATACCTTTTAAGAGTATGAATATATAGCAGTAAAACAGCCAAATGTATATCCAACCTTACTCTGTATTATAACTGGTAAAGGACCATTAAAAGAAGAATATGAAATGCAAATATCTACGCTCAAATGGGTTAAAGTGTCAATAATAACACCTTGGCTGGAACCTGAAGACTATCCTACAATTATAGCAGCAGCGGATCTAGGAGTGTGCCTACATTGGAGCTCCAGTGGGCTTGATTTACCGATGAAAGTAGTTGACATGTTTGGTTGCTGTTTACCTGTTTGTGCGTATAATTTTAGATGGTATGTTTATAAATGTATATCATTGTATATATATTAATTTTATTTTTTTCAGCTTAAATGAACTTGTGATACATGGAAAAAATGGATTTATTTTCGAAAATTACAAAGAATTGGCTGAACAATTAAAACTTTGGTTCAAAGATTTTCCAAATAATCCCAATATAATAGAAACTGATATTCATTTTCGTTCAAATTTGAAAACCTTTCAATCCTTGCGGTGGCATGAAAATTGGTCAGCATTGGCGTTACCAGTTTTTAATTCCTTTATTTGAATGTATAAAAACAAAATACTGTGTATTGTTGTGTAGAGTGCTTCAAATTAAATAAAAATATTGTCCCAATTTTTTAAACTTAATTAAAAAAAACTGAAATAAATATTTATTGTAAATTTTAACCATCATTACATAAATGTCTCAAAAAAGTCTCTATGTGAACGATGTAGCTTACTCAAAATCTTAAAGTTGCCCACTGGTAGATTACAGTTGACGGCAGCACTGTTGCATTTGGAGAAACTGCGCAGGAAATTGGATTATTTGTGTATTAAATATTTTTGTATTTTTTTTTAGAAATTAAATTATTTTTTAACAAGGGTTTTTCAAGGTCTTAAAAAATTTTGTTACCAAGGTTCTTTTAGACATTAAAATATAATAACAGGGATTTATTTTAAAACAAAAGGATCATTACAGAAAATAAAGTGAGTCTTATATTTATTGTAATAAATACAAATATTATTGTAAAATAAATAAATGTACTTATTTATAAATTTAAATTTTTAAAAAAAATTAATATATAATTAAATAAACTATCTGTATAAATATTCTAAATCCGTTGTATGAGCGATTGCGGAAGAGTTGTACGTCGGCTATCTCTAATAAGTGAAAATGGCCTAAATGGCTATATAACAGTAAACACAGAGGACACTAATATAATAAATCATTCCCCAAACAAACTTTTAGAAAATTCAAAAATTGAATCAAGTATAACAAAAATAGCTAGCGAAATTGCCATCGCCAATAAAATTAAATTAATAAATAATAAAAACGAAAAGTTAAAACATAGTTCCCCAAACCAACACGAAACAATACAAATCAATACACACAGAGAAACTAACATGAACATGGTACCGGCACCAAGCAATGCGACTTCGGGTCAACTAAAAGGTAAAATAGCTAAATCAGTTCAGGTGAAAAATATACAACAACAAATTCTACAACTTCAACAACAGCTTCAAAAATTATATAATGATGAAAAAATAACCTCCACCAAGACAAAGGTTTGAATCAAGTTTTAGCCACCAGAAACGCTACCTCTGTTAACGACACTTGGACAGTAGTTAATAATCGTAAACGTCAACGCGATAGTCCAAGTAAAAATCATCAAGCAAGTCAAAAACAAACCAAGCTAGACTCATACTGGCTAAATGAACCCGTCAAACCAAAACGATACGCAGATCTTCAGGTAGATGACTCTGAAGAAACTGAAGAATTGTTAAAAAATAATGATACGGTTCCAAAAATACTGAAACCTCCACCTATATTTATCGATAAGGTACATTGCATCAAGCCTCTAATAGATGTATTAAACGAACATGCGGCTAATCAATACAACTTAAAAGTGCTAAATCCAAGTCAAGTAAGAGTTCAACCTTCTACATCTGACTCATACGTAAGCATTGTAAAACAGTTGGAACTCAAAAAGACTGAATTTTTCACTTGCAAACCAAAAACCGAGAGAAGCTTGTTGTGATGTAAAGTTAGCAGTAGTTTCTTTCCTCAACGTAAGAATTAAGACCGTATTTTTGGATAATTAATATAGTAAAGTTGAAAGTTTTGTTTAATAATAATTAATAAATGCATAGCAGTCTTTATGGGGACATTTTCTAATAACACCTAAAAGTAGGCAAAGTTATTTACAGTTGCAATAATATTAACAAGAAGTAAAAAAGTCAGTAAGACTAATTGTCGAAGTGAAATGCTGCTTCTTGTTAATATTTATTGTCTGAGTCAATTGTAAATGACTTTGAAAAAAAGAAATGGTAACAAGGTAAAGACTGTGAAATATGTAAAATGAATAATTTTGCGAATTACGCAAAAATTATTATTACAAAATAAATTTTAATTTTTAATTAATTTTTTATTATTTCTGGGTTATTGGGGCATGTCTAATACAAATGTCATATTAGAGAAAGTTTTAAGCGTAGGTGAAAGCAGCTCTATAAATATAGAGTCTGCTTTGTTAATTAGGTCAATCGTAGAAAGCCAATCGTAAAAAGTGAATCTAAAAAGATGATTCTAAAAGGTGAATTCTAAAAAGTAATTCTAAAAGTTATTTCCTAAAAAGTATCTCTAAAAAGTAATTTTAGAAGTGATTCTAAAAATGTATCTAAAGATTTAATCTAAAAGAGGCAATCTATAAAGTGAATAAACGTTAAGGATTGTATATGAACAATTAAGTATTAGAACATTAAATAATAAAAAATATGGAAAACCGTGAAACGACAATAATATTATGTGTGTAAATTCCATTAAAATTTAAGACACTAAGTTTATATATTATAGACAATAAATAAATAAAATGAACAAACATTACGTGTTGAATTAGAAAGTTAGAAAGGAAGGAAAGGAAAAGATTGAATCACATTGGAGGATTCAAAATAAATTTTTAAATTAGGTGAATGATTTAATTGATAGAATTACGGTAGAATCTATTTTAAAAAACAAAGGTGGAGAGTTTCTTTATAATCTAAAATTTAACAAAGTAAAACATTTAGGAAAAGAAGCCATTAGGAAGTGGTAACAAAAAATACTAGAGGACTATAACATAATAAAGAAATTTAATTTAATTTATTTTATTAGTCAAGTAAATTCCTGAAATACAAATTCGTACAAAATTTATTGTATGATAAGTTATAAAATAATGCATTAAAATAAAGTGTGAAAACTATTTTCGCAAACAAAATTTTGGTTTGTTTCTGTTGCGTTAAGCAAAGAATTTTGGTTTGCTGGTTGGTAAATGTGTGAAATGAACGATGGTTTTTCGTTTAAGATAATTTTTGTTTTTCTGTATGTTTTTCTGTTGGCTAATACTATTAGGCTTAATGTCAATCAATTATAATAGTAAAATTTATAGATTTTTGTCTGTTGTGAAATATTTGAATAAATTTGCAAATAGTTTTTCATAATATTTTTTGGTGTTTATGGTTCAAAATTTTGTTAAAGATTATAAATAAGATTTTGAATTTTAATTCTATTGATTTGATAAAGTTTTGTTCAAAATACAAAGAAAAATTTTATTCAAACTTCTTATAATAAATTCATAGATGGAGGAGAGAATAAAATCTTTAGAACAAGAATTATTTAAACTAAAGAAATATTTAGAAAGTACGTTAAATCAAGCGTGGGACAAACTAATAGAATTAAATTCAGATAAAGAATTTCTTGAACTAGCTAAAGATTACATAAGACATAATAGATTGCCAAAAATAGACGAGTTAGAATATATAAAAGAACAGATAGAAAAAGTTGAAGGAATAAAAACAGCAAAACTACAGAGTACATTAGAAGAATTGACAGATGCTAAGTGTGGTTTGCAATATAAATTCAAACAACTGGTTCTGCAGACAAAAGAATTAACTGTTTTACTTCAGGACGCGGAAAATCAGACCTTAAGTTTGGAAAAAGCACTTCGAAGGGAAGGAAAGTGAGACAAAGACATTAGCATATACCTGGAGGAGGACAGTGAATTAGAAAACCAAATTAGGGAAAAGGAAGAAACATTAAAGAAACTCGTGCTACAAGTAAGACAGTTAAAAGAAGGGCTAGAACGATATTATAATACGGATCAGAAAATTCAAGAGAAAAATATAGGTAATATCGACGAAAATAAACAGATGACGAAAACAAATATAAGTGATCAAAAAACGGAAAAGGGTTCCACAAATAAAAAAGAATTAGAAACTTAACGAAAAATGACATCCATAAGTGTAATTATGGAAACAGTATCTAAAATGGTTCCATACTTCGCGGGAACTAAAGGCCCGGAGCTAAGGGGTGAGGTATATAAATTTGTAGCTGGTTGCGAACTAGTGCAACAAGCTTTACCTCAAGCTGGAGCACAATATATTGTAAGTTGTGTAAAACAACGGTTAGTAGGCATAGCATACGATAATATTGCTAATAGACCCTACTTTACAATAAACGATTTATGCGAAGCTGTCAAACGAACTTACTTAAGAAGGAGAACCCTAGAGCACATCAGAGAAGATTTAACACATAACAAACAAAGTCTGAATGAATCTGCTACCGCTTATGGGGGGCGTCTACAGGCTCTACTTCACGAAGCAAAGACACAAATAAAAAATCAAGGGTTTGAAGTGGAAATCCAGTCGCAATTACGTGAGTACAAACAGTTAGCTGTTAGGTGTTTCATAAAGGGACTTAGAGACAATAATTTGAAACACCAATTTATTGGATTGGAGAATGACACAATAACTAAACTTGTGGCCATAGCAGAATCAGCGGAAGAACTATTAGGGGAACATCGTTCTAATATTAACATGTCATTAACGGAAACAAAGTGTTCTTTTTGTAACAAATTAGGACACGGATGGGTAAATTGCCAAGACAGACAAAAACACCTTACTGCTCAAATTGTGGTGAATATGGTCATGAGAATGGCCCAAAATGTAGAATTGGTACAATTAATGAGCTAAGTACGAAACAAGTAACATGTAGTATCTGTAAAAAATAGGGCATGACTCTTCCAAATCTTTTAAGAAATTGAATACTTTGTAATATTTGTAAAGTAAAGGGTCATGAACAAAATAGGTTCTGTAAATTTGTAAGTTTAGAAAATAGAAACCAACGCCAAATAACAAATAATTATAGTCGTTGGACAAGTAACCAAAATTATTCACAACACAGAAATAGATCACAGAATAGCAGTAGCTCTGGAGGTGAAAAAATTAAATGTTTCTGTTTTGTTTCTTTCTATATTTAGGCAAGAAGTAAAAGTCGTGTGTTCTTCAAAACTAAACAACAATAATAATAATCTTTATTCTTAGAATTTAACTAACTTATAAAATCATGGCCAACTACTTTAAATTAATTATATTAACTGTTTTTAAAATAGTTATAACATCTCCCTCCTTTAAAAAAATAACATGCACAATGTTCAACTTAAGAAGGTTGATAACGATTAGGCCTCACACGGACGCGAATGCTACGACGTGGTAACTCTTCTGTCGTCTGAGGACACCCTTCCATTTTCGAGCGATGCATGGTAGCGTCATCCTCTTGCCTCACTACAGGTGATTGCATAATATACCACTCAGACGTGTCGGTCTTAGCGGAACTTGTCGACGAACGACACTTCATTTGATTTTGATGCCGTCTCACATAACCGTTGGATGTTTTCACATAAGAAACCATGTTTCCCAAATTTTTCTCAACCACAGCTTCAACCCATTTCGGACCTCGACCATAATGTCTGACATATACCTTTTCATTTGGCAAAAATTTAGTTGAACACTTTACGGTTTTATCATTGTTAATTGATGCTGATAGTAATGCAAGCAAAATTCGTGGAGTTCTGCCGTGTAGCAACTCTGCCGGTGACTTCCCTTCAGCATTAGGAATCGCACGGTATGTAGCTAGATATTTTACTAAGGCCAAAGTCAATGACAACCCATCATCAACATTTTTTTTAACAGATGTTTTGAATGTGCGGACAAACCTTTCAGCAAGACCATTTGATGCAGGATGAAATGGTGCTGTTTTAACATGATCAATACCATTCCGAACACAAAATTCAGCAAACTAATCAGATGTTAACTGAGGCCCATTGTCACTAACTATAGTTTCAGGTAATCCTTCAAGCGAAAAAATTGTTGATAACGCTGCAATAGCATCCATAGAGGTGGTAGTCTTAAGTTGTACCACAAATGGAAACTGTGAAAAAGCATCAACAACTATTAGCCACATAGAATTGAACACTGGCCCAGCAAAATCTATATGAACTCGCTGCCATGGTCGTTCCGGTTTTGGCCACTCGTGATATTGTTGATTCGGATTTGTGCCCGCTATTTGACATATATTACATTGTGCAGCAAGTTTCTCGATATCATCATCTATCTGATGCCACCAGCAATGCTGTCTAGCAAGCTGCTTCATCTTAACGACGCCCCAATGGCCTTCATGAAGAAGTTTTAAGACTGACTGGTGCAACGACTTAGGTACTACGACTCGAGTAACGTCCGTCTGCAAATAAACTAAGTTATTTTGAATAATGAACGCATACTTACGACGAAAAAAAAGGAAGCAAGTCCATATCACAACTGCTCAATTTCGACGGCCATCCTTCCAAAATGAAGGTTTTAACTCGGTTAAGTACGCGATCGTCTTTGTAATGCTGCTGTAGTAATTTGACATTGATAGGTGTATCGTAATTTTCTATTTGATGACAACATTCAAACTTGTCGAACTCAGGATCTGGTCCACAAGGCAAACGTGATAAGGCATCAGCATTTGAGTGATCTGCAGTTCTACGATACTGAATCTCAAATTGATAAGACATCAATATTATAGCCCAACGTTGTAAACGATGTGTAGACATTGATGGCAAGTTTTTATCTGGGCTGAAAATGCTTACTAAAGGCTTATGATCCGTGACCAAAATAAATTTATGACCAAATAAATACTGATGAAATCGTGTAACTCCAAAAATAATCGAAAGTGCTTCTTTTTCGATTTGACTATAACGAACTTGATGAGTGTTAAGTGTTTTTGAAGCAAATGCAATAGGTCGTTCCGAGCCATCCGGATGTCGATGAGCAATGACAGCTCCAATACCATAAGATGATGCATCAGTAGCAAGAACGATAGGCAAATGTTCTTGAAAATGTGACAACTCAGTTGCTTCTATTATGTGCCGCTTTAAAACTTCAAAAACAAATTTGATATCTTTTCTACGTTAGTGATTGATAGGCGCAGCTAATTGTGAAAAATTTGGAATGAAGTTATGATAGTAGTTTACTTTACCAAGAAATGCTTCGACTTCTTTCACGTTTTTCGGCCGCGGTAACTGCTTTACAGCCTGAACACCCTTCTCATCAGGTAAAATACCACTTGCACTGATGGTTCTGCCTAAATATTCCAATTTTTCCACCAAAAACTCACATTTTGTTCGCCTGCAACGAATGCCATTTTCAGCTAAAAGTGATAATATTTCCGCCAGCCGCTTAAGATGTATGTCAACCGTTTCAGCAGCGATTATGATATCATCAATGTAATTTCCACACTCTTCTGTACCATGTATAAGTTGTTCTATATACTTCTGAAATAACGCAGGTGCGCTGGCAATACCAAAAGGTAGACGCTGATACTGAAAAAGCCTCAGCGGTATATTGACAACTAACACATTTTTTGCTTTATCATCCAACTCCATTTGAAGATATGCATCTTTTAAATCAATCTTAGAAAAAAATTTCCCATATCGAACCATATGAAATAAGCTCTCACGTGTCGGCAACGGATATTGATCAACATCGATTTGCTTGTTTACTGTAGTTTTGAAATCACCACAAATGCGAAGAGACCCATCTGGTTTTGTAACCAATACAATTGGCGAAGCCCACTGACTAAATTTTATCGGTTTCCAAATGCCCCTATCCCTTAATCTTTGTGCTTCTGTTTTAAATTTTTCAAATTGTGCGAATGGAATCGGCCTACTTTTACAAAACTTTGGTACAGCGCCCTGTTTTAAATGCAACCTGGCCTTAACTTGCTTAATTGTACCTAAAGCAGGTTCAAAAACAATTCTATGTTTCTCCAGTACTTCATTTAATTGAGAATCATTGTTTATAACGGCAATTTGACGAATCTCAAATCCAAAAAGTTCAAATAGATCAGTGCCAAACAAATTATGACCATTCCGGACGCATACTACTACTAATGTTGCTGTTCTTTTCATTTCTCCACACTTGAGCACTGCACAAAATTCACCAAGTGTCTTTACTTTGTTTTTTCCATAATCAAATAGCTCCTTTTTACATGGATACAGCTGTGGTTTATTTAAGTGCTCATAAGTGTCTTGCGTCAACACTGAAACAGTTGCTCCAGAATCCATCTGAAATTTCACTTGCGTATTATCAACTAGAATGTTTATAAACACTTTTTTGTTTTCTCGTTGCGGCAGATTTTCCACATTCAAAATTGAATTAATTTGTGATATTGAGTTTTGCTCCGAATTTGTTGTTTCTTGTTGATCTATTTGATTGATATTGCTTTTAGCAGACATACACACGGAAGTAATATGACCTTTTCTTCCACATTTTCTACACAAAACTTTCCTGAACTTGCAATTTTGCCACGTGTGTAAAATTCCACAACTTGAACAAGATTTTAACGAGCAACTCTTCTCTTGCATTGTTTGCTTTGCGTTATCTTTTCTGTTCTTGTTTTTTTCATTTCCTTTCACTACGCAAACTTCATCATTCAATAATTTTCCTTTGATTTTGTTAATTGTCTTTTCAGTTGACTCGAACGCCTCAGCAGTTAACATAACTTCAGAGAGTGTGGGATTTGTTTTTTGTAGTGCATTTATTCGCACAACATCATGTGGTGTGTTGACTATAACTTTGTCCCGAATCATTTCCTAAGTGTAATCATGATTACAGTCTGATGCGCTGCAAACAAATTTACACTCTCTCGCAACTCTGCGTAAATCTGTGATCCACTCTCTGTAAGTTTGATCGGAACGCATTGTGGCTTTATGAAATTCATGTCTGGCAGCCACAACATGCGTTTTTGCCAGAAAATAATCTGTTAAACCTTTTGTTAATTCATCATATGTTTTAGTTTCTATTCCCTTTGGACCAAAGTTATTGCGCAAAATGTCATAAGTTTCTGTGCCTATCCAGGTCAGAAAAAATGATTTATATTTACCTTTGTCCACAGAGTAAGCTGAAAAGTGTTGATGAAGCGGAATAGTATGGATAAATTCCGAATTGTATGTGGAGAAGATAGAAACGAATCTGGGATATACCAAAATCAACGTTGGAAAAACTGAGATTGTCAGTAAATACAATTACATTTTACACACAATAGACCCATACAAAATTGGACAGTTGTTAGAAAGTTTTAAATATACAGTGAATAGGACAAATAAACATACAGGTTACAGAACATTGATGGAGTCAGAAATTACCTTAACAGAAAATATGTTACATACCTTACTACCCCATAGAATGAAAAGAGGACTAGTAAATGCTGTAAATTAAATGCTGTAATTAAATTACGTTTTAAATTAACAATAAAAATTAACCAGTTTTCATTGTAGATATTAACTCCAAACTGATCGTATGTAGGTTGGAAATTAGTCAAATTTTCCATCCTTACAATGCAGGAAGGCGTTTGTTTAATTGGGCATTTGGTACCTTAGACAACGAAGATAAAACTGCAATTGAGGGACACATTAAAGCATTAGAACAAAATAATCATGACTTAATATCGGCTGAAAATCAACAAGTATTAATTAATGATAATTTCAATAAAACTCTAGTGGATCTAGTGGGTGATGAAACATGACAGGAAGGTAATGAGAAATAACGTGAGGTAGTTTGATGAAGTTCGTTTAGGGATAATAGAGGAAAGTGTAGTGATTATGCAGCTTTTCTCTATAACAAGCTTGAGAAAGCAAGTAGAAAAAATTCAACAAAGTGTAGCATCGGCTAAGTCAGAAATTTGATATTGACTTCCAAAAACTTAAACAAATAAAGTTAGGAACAGCCACGTTTAAACAAAGATCAATAGTTTTAGTAATAAAGGTGCCAGCGGAAACAATATGAGTAGAAAAAAGATTAATTGTACCGATACCAGATGAGCAAAATAATCAGGTTTTTTTTTTTTATTTAACTATATATCTTTATTGAATCGCTTTAAATTAAAGCCTAACAATAAGTTTTAGAATCTTAAAGACTAATAACATCACATTACAAATTATTTTATATAAACATACTATAATGATACATATAATGATTTGTAAATTATTTCAAGAGGCCTCTGAATAAGTAGCCAGGGCTTATTTACCAGATATCACGGTGTATAAGTTGAATTAATCAGGATGATCATTAGGAAAGTAGGATGGCAGGTCTATCGTTCCGTTTTAGTCTAGAGGAAGTAGTCATATTAGCAAGAGGTCTAGCCATCGGATTTACATGGTTTTCAAGATTAGAAATATGTTTCTGCCTTATTCTCTCGAATTCGACTTTAACCATCGGAACTCTTAAATCGAAATGTATGTTTTCATTTCTGATATACCAGGGTGCACCAGTTATCATTCTTAAGATCTTTGCATGAGCTCTTTGCAGGATTTCTACATTTAATGAACAGGCATTGCCATATAGCTGTAAGCCATACATCCTTTTTGTTTTAATATGCTTCCGCCAAGTTAAGCGTTTGTTAAGGTGAATACCAAAGTACGTCACTGTTTCTGTTTGTGAAACTACTATTCCGTTGAGAGTGATAGTTGGTGATGACGATCTATTAAGAGAGAATATTATATGACGACATTTTTACTCATTGACTTTAATTCGCCATAGTGATAACCAGCTTTCAATGGAGTACAAATGATTTTGCAGTTGACTGGAAGCGATTGCGGCATTCTTATGTCGGCACAAAATAGCAGTATCGTCAGCAAATGTTGATATTACTAAATTGGTATTTGTAGGTGTTACATATTATATTATTCTATATTTATATATTATATTATATGGTAGGTGTGCACCTAGCTTAACATATTATACGGACACACGCTTGTCATTAACTTATAAAATTATAATAAAAGTCAGTCGTTAAGAAAATCTCAAACCGTGTGTTTCTTTTTTGTGTGCAATACACGACAATTTGGCGACGAGGATAACGGTGTGCACAAAGATAAAAGGTTTTTTATTTATTTAAAATTAAATGAAAATATAAAAACAATTAAAGTGAAATATATGTAAATACATATAAACGTTTAAAAATTCAAACGTATATATATAAAAAAATTGTGCGTAGCATATCACGCGGGATTTTACATTCGCACGTGTGAATCTTAAAAGAAAAAAGAAAAAAAGAAGAGAGGATTTGTTGATTGGTGATTAAAAGCAATATAAAAACACAATAAAAACAACACACAATGCCTACAAACAGAGCTGAAGGTACAGTAACCATTTATCACCCAAATAACATACAACAATTTTCGCCACAAAGGGAGAGTTGGGTTCTCTACAAAAAACAGCTTGAGATCCACTTTGCAGAAATTGACTGCACCGAAGAAAATCAAAAAAAAAGCTACACTTTTAAAAGCTATTGGGCCGACGCCATACGAATTGCTGCACAATCTGTGCAGTCCAGCTTCACCGTACTCAAAATCGTATAAAGAGCTTTGAGATCTTTTGCAAATGCACTACACTCCACCATTAATTGTTTTTAAGGAGCGTAAAAGCTTTCACACTGCTGTACAAGGTGATGGCAAGTTGGTATCGGAATGGCATGTCCGTGTTAGGAAATTGTCGCTCTCTTGTAAATTTGGAGAAAATTTAAATGCGTTTGTTCTTGACCGTTTTGTAATGGGTATAAATCATAAAATTTGCGATCGCTTGTGTGAAGAAGACGAGAAAATAACAATTGAAGATGCTCTCCGTAAAGCACTTATAATGGAGATGAAGTTAGTACGAAAAACTGACAACGTTGCAAATGTCAACTATGTTAAAAACTTTAAGCACAACAGAAGCTATAACAACAACAACAACAATAAAAGAAATTTCAACAATGCCAGTAATCAACAACATCAACAACAACAAAAGAAGGACGCAAATGTAAAAAAATCAGCTTGCTCGCACTGTGGTTGGAAAAACCATTCATCAAATGTTTGTAAATACAAATATAGTAAATGTCACAACTGTAACAAAATAGGACACATTGGTACAATATGTAAAAAAAAGTTTGTTAATTATGTATCAGAAAATGAATATTCAAGTAATGAATCTCTAGACACTAATTTTTATGACTTTTCCATTTATAGTGTTAATAAGAAATGTAACGATTCAACTGAACTCTACAGTGAAAACGTTAAAATCAACGGATTGGATATGCAGCTTGGTAGCTTGGTATCGAAAGAATTTGCTCAAAAATTTAATAAAAATGTAAGTCTTGATTTATGTCATGAACCATATGTCGATTTTAACGGAAACAAAATTAAAGTCATAGGCCAGTACTATCAATTGATAGAATGCAATGGTATAAAAAAACAAGTGTTGCTCGTGGTCACGAATAATAACAACAATCCATTACTTGGAAGAAATTTCTTGCGTAGATTCAATTTTGAGTTAGTGCAAATAAATTTGATTACAAATTCAAATGATCATGCTATTAGATTAGATTAGATTATGCTGGCAAGCCATAAAGGCCACGCGTAGACCACTAAGGTCCATTGCGATACCAATGATCATGCTATACTTATCGAACAATTTAAAAATGAATTTCATGATGTTTTTAAAAATGACCTTGGCACGTATAAATTGGGAAAAATTTCTCTTGAAGTTGAAAAAGATTGTAAACCTATATTCTTTAAACCACGTAAAGTACCGTTTGCGTGGAAAGCTAAAATTGAAAATAACTTGAGAGATTTGATAGCTAAAAATGTTATAGAACAAATTGAAGATTCCGATTGGGGCACTCCATTAGTTCCAATTTTAAATCCCAATGGGGATATTAGGATTTGCCGTGACTATAAAGTCACAATAAACAAATATTTGTCTGACTTTCATTATCCTTTACCATTAAGAGACGAAATATTTGCGTCACTTCAAGGAGGTGAATTATTCACCAAACTTGATCTATCAAATGCTTATAATCAACTCGTTCTAGACGAGAAATCTCAAATGCTATGTACATGGTCAACTCATATTGGCACATTTAAAATGAAACGATTACCTTTCGGTGTTAAACCGGCAGCAGCCATTTTTCAGAAAACCATTGAAGGTTTGTTGAGAGACATTCCTTTTGTAGTTGCATATCAAGATGATATCACAGTTTCGGGTAAAAACATGTCAGAACACATCAAAAATTTGAAGGTAGTTCTTTCTAAATTAAAATTGGATTAAAATTAAACATAAAAAAATGTGAATTTTTCAAAAACAAATTATCGTATTTGGGATTTACCATTGATAAGTATGGTTTAAGTAAAAACAAAGAACGAACAGAATCTGTTCAAAATGCACCTATACCTAGTAATATTTCAGAGTTAAGAGCGTTTTTAGGTATGTTTAATTACTATTCAAAATTTATAGACGGATTTTCTAACAAAATGATGCCCTTGTATAACTTATTAAAGAAAGATGTTAATTTCAAGTGATTTAAAGATAGCCAACTTGCTTACGATCAAATTAAGAAAGATGTTACGTCAGAAAAAGTTTTATTTCATTTTAACCCAAAGCTACCGATTGTACTTACAACGGATGCTTCAAATTCTGCTGTAGCTGGAATTTTGTCGCATTTATATCTAGAGCTTTATCTAAAGCTGAGCAAAATTATAGTACTCTTGAAAAAGAGGCTTTAGCAATTTTCTTTTGCATAACAAAGTTAAAACAATATTTAATTGGTAATTAT